ATTGGCAATGAGCTACAAACAAACAAAAATATATACACACATTACCAATAGAACACACAAACAAAAATAAAATAATTAATCAGCATATCAAGTTAAATTCAAACAAACACATACCATGCACCAAAATATGGCGATGCCACACCCAGTCACTCATACATGAATGTTTTACACTGCGTATGTGATGTCTACATCGAAATAAACAATATACCGGTATTTATTATATATACGATAAAAGGATATACTATTTAGTATAATTCAAGTTTAATAAAACACAAGACTAACACACATTTCAGCACAGTAACTTGATAAACCAGTTTAAATCTTAGAGATTTACTCAACAAAATAATAATTTTATAAATTCAAATCACTGCACTGAAAATTAATAAAAAATAGATAAACACATTCAAATAGAATTTTTATAACGTTTTTTAATAATATAATCTCAAATAAAATTAAACACCAGGTGGGCGTCAGCACATGGTGCGCGTTTGTTCTTTAAATAGTATAAATAAATTACTTGATAAACCAGTTTAAATCTATACGAGATTTACTCAACAAAATAATAATTTTATAAATTCAAATTTTCACTACACTGAAAATTAATAAAAAATAGATAACAACTACATTAATATTCAAATAGAATTTTTATAACGAATTTTTAATAATATAATCTCTAAATAAAATTACGAAAAAATATTTTGACGTCAAGGCAGTCAGCAAGTTTTGTTCAGCGCTTTGTAGAACTCTTTACCATACTAAACGACCTGCTAAAACAATAACAACGAGGAAAATGTGTAAGGATTTGTTATTTCATTGGTATACAATTTTTTTTTTTACAATTAATTCCACCAGAGTAAAATTAAAAGCTCCGGACGACCATCAGTTAATACATACGTTATTTATTTAATATCTTTACGGTATTAATATCGTTGATCCGCGTGGCATAAATCGGCGCTGCACGATTCTAACTCATCCTTTCCTACATATGAAAATGTTAAATTGGGGTAGCAACAGCATACATTTTTAAAGTACATGTGTACTTTAAGAAAAGAGAATGGTTTTTGTAATTTTATATGTAATAACAAAGAAGGAAGTATTAAACGATTCCCGATTGATAAAATGCAAACCATCTCCCTCGTTTTTTTTTTTAAAAATCAACAAGTAGATTAAAACGTAAGTGTTTTACTATATACACAATTTATAAAAACGCGAAGAAATGTCTTTCGTTCAAAGTCATAATCTATGCCTCTATCTCCACATCAGAATCAGACTCTTCACAAATATTATTTTGCTCATTTTGGTGCTTTTCTTTCATGTCTAAGAGCTCGTTTCTGTGAAGAACTTTTGTTTCATTACTACCATCTGCTGACTTTACTTCGTAAACATTTTCCTGTAACTTACCTGTGATAATGTAAGGATCTGATTTCCACACATCTTGTATCTTATTCCTACCTTGTACATGATTTTTGATAAGGACCTTTGTTCCTACATCAATTGAACAAGGAGTGGATTTCCTTTCGTGAAACTCTCGTCGTTTTTCTGCGCTCTTCTCTGTGTTCTTACCTGCAACAGTCCAGGTGTACTGAAGATGCTCTTTGTGAGACTTCAACCAATCGTCTACCTTGTAACTTACATCGTCCTTGTTGGTACCTAACAAGTAATCTACAGGTAATCTTGGTTCTCTTCCATAAAGGAGGAAATAAGGAGTCAATCCTGTGGAAGAATGAGGTGTAACATTGTAAACATAAACAAGTTCTGGCAAAACGCTGTCCATTTTCTCTTTCTCTGCGCATCAAGCGTTCTTAACCTATCATGCATCGTTCGGTTGAATCTCTCGCATTGCGAGTTACCTTCAGGATGATAGGGAGTACTACGTGACTTTTTGATACCATACCACTTGCATAACTCTTTAACCACCTCACCCTCAAAATTCCTACCTTGGTCACTATGCAAACGACTTGGTATGCCAATTTTATAGAACCAATTGTAAACCAGCTGTTTAGCGACAGTAGAAGCTCTCTGATTCTTTGTAGGAATGGCCATGGTAAATTTCGTGAAAACGTCCGTCAAAACGAGAACATTCTCAAAACCATCTGCAGATTTTTCTAACAATGTAAAATCCATTGCCAAAATGTCTAATGGTTGTTTAGCTATCAAGTTACCTATTGATGGCCTAATCGTTGGAACTGGTGTCTTAGCAATCTTGCATCTTTCACATCTCTCGATCCACTTTATCACGTCTGCCTGCATTCCTGGCCAGTAACATCTTTTCCTCACAAGTGCAAATGTTCTCTCGCGACCCTGGTGTCCAGAACAATCATGCAGAGACTCCATTACCTGTGGTCTAAGACATTCTGGTAACACTAACTGCAAACACTCATCATCCAATCCCTTGCTTGTCATGTACAAGACACCGTTCTTGAACTGTAACAAATGATACTTCCTCAGATATTTTCTCACCTCTCCGTTCTCTTTTGAAATTTGACGTGATGTTGGTTTGTGACCAATCTCCATCCAGTGAAGCACTCTATTGATCTTTGGATCCTCCACCTGCAGTTTCCGTAAATCGTCTGAAGTGTATTCAGGAAACATAGGAGTTAGTTCTTTGTCCGTTGTAATTGTCTGACAGTCTGTAATAAATTCTCTCAAGGAAATACTTTGAGACAATTCTGCTAAAATTTCCTCAGAATTACTCTCTAAATACATTCTGCTAAGACTATCTGCGTTTTTGACTTTCCGGATCTATACTTGATATCAAAATTGAACTGTGCCAACTCCGAAGCCCATCTCAGTTCATTGGCTGCTAACTTTGTTGTTTTGAAATAACTGAGGGGATTATTGTCTGTGTATACGATAAAATTGCTACCTAACAAATAGTCTCGAAACTTTTCAGTTATCGCCCATTTTAGAGCAAGTAATTCCAATTTCATGGAGCTGTAATTCGACATGTTTCTCTCACCTGGTCTAAGGCTTCTAGATGCATAGGCGATCACGACTCTTCCAGACTCCTGCTGTTGACTCAAAACTGCACCCAAACCATCAAAACTGGCATCTGTTTCTACGATAAATGGAGAGCTAAAGTTTGGAAAACCTAAAACTGGAGTGTTTGTAAGACATGATTTGAGTTTTTCAAAAGCATTGTCACACTCTGAATTCCATTTATGTTTGAACGGAATTTGCCTTGTTACAATTTTCCTACCTTTGGTCTTTTTCTCTTGTTTAGACAATACAGCATGAAGAGGAGCAGCAATTTGACTAAACCCTTTTATGAATTTGCGATAGTACCCAGCTAGGCCTAAAAAGGAACGTAATTCTTTTTCTGTTTGAGGAGTTTTCCAATCTTTGATTACAGAAATTTTCTCTGGGTCAACTTTGACACCGTCTTCGCTAACAACATGACCTAAGTATTTGACCTCTCTTTGGAAAAAGTGGCATTTTTAAGGTTTTATTTTTAGATTGTGAGATCTTAATCTGTTGAAAACAAATTCAAGCCGTTGGATATGATCATCGAATGATTGAGAAAAGACAAGAATATCATCGAGATACAAAAGAAGAATTTCGAAATTTTTGTCACCTAAACAAGCTTCCATTAATCTTTGAAAAGTACTTGGGCTATTACAAAGACCGAAGGGCATGCGGACAAATTCATACAAACCCAAGGGACCAACTCTAAATGCCGTTTTCTGGCTGTCCTGCTCATCCATCTGTACCTGATAGAAACCTTGTGCTAGATCTAATGTAGAAAAGAATTTAGCGCCATGAAGTGCGTCTAATGCCTCCTCGATCCTGGGAATTGGAAATGCGTCTTTGTTTTGAGATTTAGTCGCCGATAGTCGACGCAAAGACGTAATGTACCGTCTTTCTTGCGTACTAATACAAGAGCGGCTCCATATGGACTTGTACTGGGTCTAATAATACCTTGTTTCAGAAGAGTTTGAATGTGCAACTTCACTTCTTCGATTTGATTAGGAGGTATACGTCTGTGTGGCAATTTGACAGGAACTTCATCTGTGGTAAGTATTTTATGTTTGACCGTATCGGTAGAACCCAGATCGTCGCTGTTTTTGGAGAAAACATCCTGATGCTTATTCAGAACTGATACCAACCTTTCTTTCTCGTCATCTGATATGATTCCTCCAACATCGACTTCTACACCATGAATTTGAATGGCTTTAATTGTGCTTACTACTGCTTTGACATCATCTAGCCTTTCAAAGTTTTCATGAATATTTTCGATGTGTACTTGAATTTCTTGAGTACTTACCTCAATTTCTGCCTGACAGTTGGGCTGAGCAGCGTACTCAACGTTGACGTCATAAAGGATGCCGATCCTGGTCTTTGGATTCAACCAAACATCTTCATCTCCGATGTTTACGACTCGAACTGGAATCATACCATTCTCTACATCTGCGTAGGTATCGATCACCAAGATGTTTTTCGGTAGAGTACCATTATTGCCATGGACAGCTTGAACCAACCCACTGAAGTTCTTGGACGTCTGACGTGCAGTACCTAAAACAACCTTCACTGAATTTGCAGGAATTTTAATAGGATCTTGACCCGCAACTTTGACAAAACTAGATCTTTGAGAACCTGAAACTGACGTATTCATTTCAAAAATCGACAATGTATTCAATAACTGATCATTCTTTTCAGTGACTGAATACAAATTTTGTTCAACTTGTTCCTTTAGAATATGGAAGAAATTACTCCCGAGTACTCCAGGAACTTGTAACTTTTTCTGCTTACCATATTGGTCTATGGTATCCTTAACCACCAGTATTCCAACATTTGGTACACGACCATGAGCAGTGTCTATCACTACCTCAATATAACCAATGTATGGTATAGGTAAGTGATTGGCGCCAGACACTTTCATCCACTTCGTAACGTCAATTAATTTAGGTTCAGCTTTCAACAGATCTCGAAAGTAAGTTTCAGTGATAGCACATGTAGATACTTGTGAACCAGTGTCAATCAGACACGAAATTGGCTTACCTTCAATCTGTACTGTTACGACAGGACATTGTCCTATAGCTCTGTCTATGATCCTCTGATCAAATGAGTCTTTTATCCTCTCACTTTCATCTGCTGGGCGACTCTCTACAACAGACGCTTCGCGTTTAAAGGAAAATTAGAGACAGGTGCCCCTTGTGACTTACCTTTGCGTGGAGGATTGTTGTTTTCTAACTGAGTACTACAGTCTTGTACTTTGTGTCCCTTTCCACCACAACAGAAACATGTTAAATGGGATTGTTTGACTTTAGGAAATTGTCTTCCTTGCAAGGGTTTGGTTTCAAACTGTGGATTTACTTTTCTCATAACCTCTTCCGAAAATTTCTTTAACTCTTTTTGATTTTCATCTATTTGCTTTTGTTGCAATTTTAGAATATCAAGAATATCTGATAACTGACCATCATCATGTGATTTTGTAACCTTTGTTTTCATACTCTCTTGAATGCTAGTTTCATGTACTGAGCATGACTTACCCAGTGGCTCACTCTTGTAATCTTCAGACCATCGTAACACTGTTTGTCTAAATTCACCAAAAGGCATAGATTTCTGTTCGAACGAAAACCGTCTAATCTCTCTTCGGAGAGATGAATCACGAATGCCTTCAACAAACCGCTCTTTTAACATCTCATCGAAATCGCTTACAGCTTTGTAATCTTTTGCCACGATCTTGTCGAGTAATTTCATTAATGCTAAAGAGTAATTTTGCAACGACTCGCCATGTTTCTGATCTCTTTGATAGAATTGCTGTTGCAACGCGCCCAAAGTTTCTGTACTTGCAAAAACATCTTTAATGATATCTAAAATTTTGTCAGATGTATTTCTTTCCATTCTAGGTCTTAATCTTATTTCATCTTTTGCCTGACCACCTAAATTGTCCATCAAAAAATCTATCTTTGCATCTTCATCATCAATAACTTTTAAATGTTGCCTAGCATCATCTAACCATTCTGCTACATCAGGGTCACTCTCTTTCACAGGTCTACCACACAACCTTGCAATCTTTTTCTCTCTCGCAACATAGACAGTTTTATTTGGTTTTGGTTCATGTTTATATTTCATTTCTATTTCTTTTAAACTCAAAGCACTTTCAGTTTTCTTCAACCTCTGGTGAAGTGTTGCTATTTCACTCTCTAACTGTTCTGATTTTTCTTTTTCAAGTTCAAGAAGTTCTTTCATTTCCCGCTTAGTAGACATATTTGAAAGAGTGGATTAATACACAAATGCACAGATATAATTACACAATTCTTATTGTTTAAGTGCACAATTATAAACAGGTGAAGTTTTTTTTGTCACCTCAATGGGCGTTGTTTGGAACACTCGGATGTCCGTTGTGTTGACGTTGATCATAAACCAAACTCAAAGTCTTTGGCGAATGCACTCGTTAATTGGTAGTTGAACTTAGAACTCAGGACATCAGAAACGTCAATCGAATGGCACTGTAGTCTGTTAAACGTCGACAAAGGCAAAAGGCACTTCAGAATTCCGAAGTTGTCATCGAGTGTGGGCCTAGAAGTAACTCATTGCCAAAAGATTTTTTTAATTGTATGTCCACGACGCCATTTGTAACGAGTAAAGTCAAGTTCTTTTTTACGGTTCTTTTATTTTAATTAAATTTTCAAATTGGCAATGAGCTACAAACAAACAAAAATATATACACACATTACCAATAGAACACACAAACAAAAATAAAATAATTAATCAGCATATCAAGTTAAATTCAAACAAACACATACCATGCACCAAAATATGGCGATGCCACACCCAGTCACTCATACATGAAATGTTTTACACTGCGTATGTGGTGTCTACATCGAAATAAACAATATACCGGTATTTATTATATATACGATAAAAGGATATAATATTTAGTATAATTCAAGTTTAGTAAAACACAAGACTAACAACTTTCTTACCGTAACACGCATCACAACTCGAACACATTCCATTCAACACAGGGGCGTCAGCACAGTGAGTATAAATAAATTACTTGATAAACCAGTTTAAATCTTAGAGATTTACTCAACAAAATAATAATTTTATAAATTCAAATCACTGCACTGAAAATTAATAAAAAATAGATAACAACTACATTAATATTCAAATAGAATTTTTATAACGTTTTTTAATAATATAATCTCTAAATAAAATTAAATACCAGGCGCAAGAACAGAAACTCTATAAA